GATCTGCTACCACAAGCGTGGGCTGCTCTGTCCTGTTTCCCGTGGGTCCGGGAGCTGTCCCCGCCCTCCTGCTCTCACCATGGTGCCTGGGCCCAGTGTCCTCTTTCAGCCGGCTGGGCTGGGGTGGGAGTTAGAATTGCGAGATGGGCAGGGGCCAGGCCTGTGGTAGTTGAAGGTGGGCCGCCCAAGCCTCGAACACCCTGGCCTTGGATGCCCTGTGAGGGCCGAGGGCCGCTGGAGTTCCAGCTGCCCAGCTGTGGGCCTGGCCTGACTGGTTGTCTCACCATGACTCTAGAAGAGGCACACAGAGCCAGCGGGCCACCCTGCACCCCACACCTTGCCTCTGCCTTGTGACTGTGCTTAATATAGGTCAAGTGAAAACAGCTCCCAAAATAGACCTTCTCTGAGAGGCAGCTGTGGTTGTGAAGTGCTCCACAGAAAGGGAAAAGGTGTGGGTGACAGGGAGCCTAGTTCTCCCCAGGTGTTATGTAACCCGGCCTGGAAATTGGGGCCAGATATCTGCGGCGAGCAGGCGCTGCCCCTGGCCTGGCTTCCTCTCCGCCACCCCCCAGACCGGAGTTGGCCTGGTCTTACTCAGCAGGCTCGAAGGAGCCTGCGCTGGGCGGCAAGGTCACCCGCAGAGCATCACTGGGGAGCTGGCCATGCATACCTAAGTGTCACATGACTGCTCCAGCTGGCCGGAGCCCCAGGAGTGGTCAGGTGACTCCCGGCAGGGTGGCTGCCTGGTGGGTTTCATCTCCCCAGTAGTGGGGCATGGGGGGACCACGGACAGCAGTGGACTGAGGAGGCTGCTGCCCCGCGTGCTGGGCTGGGGGAAGCAGGGGAGGAGGGCCTGCTTCCTCTCCTGCAGAGCGGCCCCTGCTGTCCTTCCAGGCCCGAGGCCCAGCACCCTCCAAAGCCCTCTCCTTTCACTTTTCATCTCCGCCTAGGCTTGGAGGGGGTTTCCACGGTGAAAGGAGGTGCGGCCTCCCACCACTCCTGCCTCCCCTCCTTGGGTGCACGTTTGGAAAGGCTATGTGGATAAGGCCCTTCCTCGCTTCTGGGGCCTCGTTTGGAAAGGGGCAGAGCAAAGTAAGCAGGGAGTTTGAGCGCAGGGCAGGTGGAAGCCTCAGGAGGGGTCCTGTCTGGGGTGCAGAGAGGATCAGGGCGGCCTTCCTGGATCAGCCGGGAAGGCTGGGCGAGCGAGGCTGTAGAAGCTCAGTTGAGGAAACAGCGTGTGCAGAGGCCCAGAAGCCGATGGCGTGATGCCTCCTGGGGGACCCGCCCCTACCGCGGAACGGCCGGGTGCGATGGATGGGTGACAGGTTTGGAGAGGCAGAACGGGGGGCCAAGGGATGCCACATCATGGAGAGCCTTGCCAAAAAGTGAGGACTTCACCTTGCGCGAGCTGGGACCGGCCAAATTGGGGTTCTCAGGGCCTGGTCTTTGGGGGCAGGATAGAAAAGCTTATTGCTGGGCCCCAGCCCAGGTCAGGAGCTAGAAATCTGCATCGTTTCCATCTTCCCCAGACTCTCCAGGTGTCTCTGACACACAGGTGTTTGCAAACCGAGGGGCTGAATGGGAGGGTAGGGAGGGTGTTGGAAGCAGCTCTCTGGTTGCAGGGCAGGAAACTGCTTGAAGGCAGACAAGCCTGGATGGGGCAGGAAGAAGGGTCGGCGCCCAACACCCCGGGAGGGCTGGTGGTGGTCCCGCGGGGATGGAGCGCAGTGTCACATATCACACACGCTGGCAGGGCCACATGGCGACTTTGGCTTTTTTTGTTTTTCTTTTTACGCGAGAGCAAGCAGTGGATGAGCAGGAAGGAGGGACTTCTCGGGGGCTCGGCGCTGAAGTCCCCGCGCCAGCCCCACTCAGCAAGGACGCAGGCCCCTGCCCTGCTGCCGGCCTGTTCTGGTTGGCCCAGGATGCCGGCCCAGTCGTCCCTCCCACGTGCCCCCAGTCGCACGGAGCAGCTCTGTCTCATGTGCCACTGTGGCTGGGCTGCGTGTGACAACTTTGGTGGATCCTGGGCACTTTGACTTCGTAGGCCTTTCTCCAGTGGAACAGTGTTAGAAAGTTCATTTGGTGACTGCATCGGTGTAAGGGTGAATGTACTCACTAATGTTTACGTTACACCTGCTATTATGTGCATGTTTTCCGCTGAGTGACAGAAAGGAGGCCGTTTTTTAGTATATGTGCTGCCGAAGCGAGCACAAAGGAGGCCGTTTTTTGTATCCCCCTTTAAGGTAGCACCTGCCTGGGGGGCAAGCCAGCCCTGAACATCGGGTGTGGTTTCCACAGGGGGTGGCCTCTGAGCGGACTGGGAAGGGGCAGACTCCTGGCTGTGGCCCACCAGACCGAGCACCCCGAAGGAGGGGTGGACTCCCAGGCAGGCCCAGCGCCGTCTGTCACACAGGTCCCAGTCTGTGTGGAAACGTCCAGGAGGCAGCGGCACACCCGGGGCCAGATGTGTGAGTCACTCCCAGAAAGGGGATACTGAGGCAAGGGGCAGAAAGGAAGAAGACGAGAACCCAGGGAATGACCCCTGAGGGTCAGGACCCGCATGAGACGCAGGAAGGGTTAGCGGGAAGGTGGAGGGAGGCCAGCAAAGTGGGGGTAAACTGAGGCACGGAGCATTTCAGGTGGGGTGTCTCCAGTGCCAAGCGTTGCAGGAAAGCACAGCAGAAGAGCCGTAACATGCCGCCTTGGCATTGAGGCCCCCAGGCAAGGTGGAGCTGGCTGCCACCCTTCCCCCTGGGCGGCAACTGGGTGGCGATGTGGGAGTCAGTTTGTAGATGCGGCTCTTCCAAGGAGGTTGGCTGTGAACAACAGGAGAGAGACAGGGCGGTGGCCGTGGGGTCGTGGGGGCAACAGGAAGGGCCGTACGTTGGTCCTGGGGAGACAGATGCCAAGAGGGAGGCTTTCAGGCAGGAAGTTTCCCGGAGTCGGGGAAGCTTCATGGGGCCAAGAGAGGAGCTGGCTTTTGGGCAGCAAGAACTGCAGCCTCAGCCGAGCCCTGGGAGCTGTGGAGCCAGGGCGGCCCTGCTGAGTCGCCCGGAACTGGTGGGGCATTGGGCCTCCTCCCCGCCCTCGGTTGTGCCGCGATGTTTCAATAGCTAGGTGCTCTCTCTCTCTCTCTCTCTCGCTCTCGCTCTCGCTCTCGCTCTCGCTCTCTCTCTCGTTCCCTTGTGCACGTGTGTGCCTCTACACACTCTGTATCATGAATGAAATACATTAAAACATTTAAAAAATGGTTTTACATATGTGTAACATACAATTAAAATACATTTAAGAAAACATTAAAAAATTTAGTCAACTTAAAATAGGACATAGTTCTTCATAAATTAAATAAGGTGTGTGTTAAATTATAGATAGATATATATGTAGTAAGTGATAAAATTTAATAAAGGTTACTTTAAATGTCTTAATTTTTTAAAAAAGTATTAAATTAATGGAGACGCCCATGTATCTAGTTAAAAAGACTTAATATTTCAAAACCCTCAATTTTCTTTAAATGACTTTATAGGTTCAAAATAATTCAAATAAAAATTTTGATGTTTCAGTGAAACTTTACAAAGTAAGTTTAAACTGGGACCAACAAATAGGGTAATAGTTTTGTTGCTGGACTCCCACGTGTCAACCACTGAACCCAGTGGCTTAAAACCTCATGCTGGGTGCATATGTGTGCGTGCCTAGGATCCTGAGAGAAGAATGGAGAAGAAGGGATTGTGGCATGGTCATCCCCCAGGAGGTGATTTATCGCTTTCTGTCTTTGTCTTTCCGGTGAGCTCACATGCCCTATAGCAAAGATCTCTCTTTAAAAAAGAAGAAGGTTAAACTTAGATAGTTCCTCCATTCATCAATGAACATTTTGATTGCTCTCATCTTTGGTTATTATGAGTGATGCTGCTGCAGACATGGGTGTACAAACATCTCTTTAAGATTCTCTTTCAACTTGTTTGGTTATATACCCAGCAGGGAAATTCCTACCACATGATCATTCTTTTTTTTTTTTTTTTTTTTAGAAACTACCACAATGTTTCCACAGCAGCCAAGATGAAGGTTTTCGGGCAGGAAATGTACCAGGTACAAGATTTCACATCAAACCAGCAGTACATAGGAGTCTAATGTCTGCACATCCTTGCAAACTCTGGCCGTTTTCTGGTTTGTTTGTTCGTAATATTCATTTTAGAGGGTACAGAGTGGTATCGTTGTAGTGTGGCCATGGTCAACTATTTCTTTATCATGTTGTTGGATGTGGCTTGATAGTATATTGAGGATTTTTGTTTTTGTTTTGTTTTGTTTTGGAGAGGTTTTTTGCTATAGGCGCATGCACTCACCAGCCAGACAGAGAGACAGAAAGCGAGAAATCACCCCCAGGGGGGATTGGCCAAGCCGCAATCCCTCCTCCTCCATTCTCCTCTCGGGATCTTGGGCACACATGCACACGCGCCCAGCGTGAGTTTTAAGCCACCGGATCCGGGACTCGAACCACGGTAGACTACGTGGGAGTCCAGTGACATAGCCATTACACTAACTGCTGGTCCCAGGATTTTTGTTTTTCTGTTCATGAGAACCAGGTAGTCAGTACTCTCTTTTTCGCTTTGGTTTTGTGTCACACTTGAGCTAGCTTTGTAAAATGTATTGAGAAACCGCCTATATTACGCTCTAATGTGAAATTAGAATTTAAAGCAAGGGAAGTACCTGTCCCTATTAAATATTTATAGCAGGTGTGACTCGTGCACAGGTTCGGAGATAGAATCATATACCTGTCTGTCTGTATTTTTCCACAACAGATACTTAATTCAAGGCAGCCCGTTTCGTTCTTTTTTTTTCTTTTTTTAAAAGTGTTTCTTTCTTTCATGAGTGAGAGAGGGAGAGACCAGCAGGATCTTGACCTGTGACCCTCCTCCAGCTTCAGCTGAGCCCAGACCATGAATGCACGTCTGCCCAGCACATTCATGAAGGTCTCTGCAGGCGAGCCCAAGCCCCTCCATGTGGGCCGCCTTCCGGAGCATCGCATTCCTCTGAGCCACCCAGACAGCCCATTTCTGCTGGTGAAAGAAAGCTTACTTTATAAGTTGTAGTCACTTTTGTATTGAAGTATGTCAGCTCAGAGTGTGAACTTAGTTCATATCGCCACTCCCTCCTCTTTCCTTCTCCCATGGTGAGTTTAACCCCAGGAGGCTGCCCCTTACACTGACATGGGTGTACGGTCTGGTCCTGGCTTGCTCGTGTTCTTTGGTTCCTGCTGCTGTGTGTGGCACTGCCCAGTTCAAGCCTCTAGTTGGTCATGGGACCAGGGACGCTGTAGAACCTTATTCTGATCACAGGACTCTTCAGAGTGTCCACCAGCCTTTGCACCATTTCTAAGGGCCCCCAGGGCTTGACTGCTGCCCTCCACTGCCCAGGCATGGATGAGAGCACCCACCTGGAGCCCCGGGCAGGGACAGCACGACTTCTTGGTGCCTGTGGGTGGTGGACAAAGGAAAGAACCGTGAGTGAAGGTTCCCAGCTGAGTAACCAAGCAGAGCTGACTCTCAGGAAATCAGACTTACGAAACCCAATGCAGGGATGTGTTTTAAAAACAACCACAGTGAGACTTAAGCAGAGACCGGGCATTTCTATAATCTCTCAGCGTTTCCTTCCAAATTTAGTAATGACAAAGAGGAAAATACTGAGTTTACAATCATGAATCCTGGAGATACCCTTATCCCAGTAATCAAAGTCAACATCACCAGTAACATGTATCCACATCAAATTCCCCTGATGTGACGCACCGAAAAGGGCACATCACTGCTATAGTTCGGATCCCCCCCAGAATTCGTGTGATGGGACTTGGTTTACTATAAAGGTGTTAAGTGAAAACAGTCCCTTCCCAGGGTGGGGCAGTTGGGTGTGACAAGGTCATTAGAGTGGAGGCTCTATGGTTGAGCACTGGTGGGTTTACAAGAGGGACAAGGAGACCAGAAGAGGCAGAAATGGGTAGATAGCCACTCTGCCCAAGATCCTGCCCTTCATGATGTTGTAGCCCCACCAGAAGTTGGCCTCTGGACCTCGGGCCTCCAAACCATGAACAGAGTAAACCTCTGTTTTTGTGAATCACCTGGCTGCAGCTACTTCTGAATGCAAACGTGGACTAAGACAGTCACCAGTATGAGATCTGCATGGCATAACCTCAATCTAATCATGGCCGTTGTACAAAGTATCCAGCACACCTTAAAGCATCAGGGTCATGGAAGACAAGAAAAGGCTGAGGACCCCTTACAGACGGTGCTAATAACAGCCGTGACAATGAGTACAGCGTGGATCCCACAGTGGGTCCTGGAACAGAAAATGGCATCAGTGGAAAACTTCTAAAATCCTCCTCAAAATTCTATGGCTCCATTAACAGTAGAGTACCCAGGCTAATTTCCTAGTTTGGGTCCTATGGTTCAGATCTTATTACTAGGTGAAGCTGGATGCAGTGTATATAGGAAGTTCTCTGCACTATTTTTGCAACTTCTCTATAAATATAAAATTAACACAAAGTCACAGGAGTGGGTTAAGGGGCTGACCAAAGAGGCGTGCAGCCAGGCTCCCAAAGCCCTCCCTGGGTGCCTGTCTCCGTTTGGGACTGGACCCTTGTCTGTGATTAGCATTTGACCGTCATCAGCCTTCGAGGAGGATGCTTCAACTGATATCTTATACCTGCAGTGCCCAGCATCCCAGCATGGAGCAACCTTCAGGGAGTTGTTGAATGAGTAACTGAATGAGATCCTGGTTTCCCTAAGAACAGCACGAGTGGCTTCCACAGTGAGAATCTTCAGAGCAACCACAACTGCTAACGTCTGGTCTATGGTTGGTCTATGGTCCTTAAGCATCAGCGTGTGGCACCCCAGTGGGGATAAACCTGGTTTGGGGTCAATCCCATTAGTTATTTTTTTAAATGGTTCAGGATGCTGGCGCTCTTCTGAGAGGTGTCCCAGAGGCAACCCGAGTACAACTCCATCTGTCCTCATGGTCGTTTTCCTTTCTGGTCTCTCTGTAGCACTCCCTACCTTCTGGGGGCTGTTGCTCTTTTTCTTATTTGATATGCTGAAGCTCTTTATAAATTCTGGATGTGGATTCTTTATTAGCTATAATAATGCAATATTTCATACCTGGGGTCTCTTGATGAAAGAAAGCCTAATTATTTATTTAGAGAGATATTTGCTATAGGACATGTGTGCACACCAGAGAGACAGAAAACGAGCACTCACTCCCCGAGGGGGATGACCACACGGCAATCCCTTCTCCTGCTGGGATCTTGGTTATACCTGAACATGCAGTCAGCAAGAGTTTTAAGCCACCAGGTGTGGGACTTGAGCCACTGTCAGCTGTATGAGACTCCAGCAATGTAACCATGACACCATCTATTGGTCCCCAAAACAGTCAAATCTACGGATCTTTTGGGGCATTGTTTGTGTTTTTTCTGTCACGTTGCCTTCTCTACATTAAGGTCATAAAGATATTGTCCTGTGTTTTCTTCTAAAGTCTTAAAGATCGCTAATTTAGTATTTTGGTTTTAATCCCATGAAATTTGTTTTGTGTAAAGTATGGCATTACAATATGATTTTATTTTTTCCATATGAAATTGAATTGTCCCAGTTCAGCTCGGCGTGGTGTAGTGGTTAAGGTGACTGGATCCCATACGACTGACTGCACCATTTGAGTTCTGGACCCAGCGGCTTGTAAAACAAGCTAGGCACATGTGCATGCGTGCCCTAAATTCTGAAAACAGAACAGAGGAGAAGGGGTGACATGGCCCTCCATAATCATCCCTGGGCATGATTGCTCAGTTTTTCTCTTTGTCCCTCTCTCTCTGTTTCTCTCCAGAAAATGTATATACCCTATAGCTAAATAAACAAGTAAAAAATACCAGAATTCTTAAAAAAAAAAAAAAAAAGAAAAAGAAAAAAATTGAATTGCCCTCATGTCATTGATTGGATAATCTGTCTCTTCCCCATTGATTCAAATGTCATCTCTGCAGGTAAGGAAATTGGTAATAAGTGAAAACGATGACAGGTGTCTGCGATGGACAGCTACACACTGCTTACAGCATTTTCCTCCAGCTTTTCAGATCCTTTCATTGGCTTGAGCTATTTTACAGCTCCGTGCATCGTTGGTAACTAATAGCAACATAGAGTAACTCTTGTCCATAGACAGGTTAAAAACAGTTCTGTCTGGTGAGAGCCCAGTTGAGGTTCCCTCTCCCACTGTGGAAGCCAGTTCTGCCTCTGTTTCTCTACCCTTATCTATCGGTGTCTGTCCTTTGGACTGTTCTCTGAACTGGTCCGAAGATCTTACCAGTTTCTTCACTAAAAATGAGTTATATATATTTTAAATTGCCAGAGGACATGTGAGCTCACCAGACAGGGACAGGGAGGGGAGAGCACCCCCCAGTGAAGTGTGGTCATGCTCCAGCCCCTCCTCATCCATTTCCCCAACCTGGGCATGCACACGCACACACCTGGTGTGTTTTTCAAGCCCTCAGGGCTGGGATTCAGACTACGGTTGGCCTCGTAGATCTGGTTCCCTTAACCAGGAGGCTATGAACTGCCCCTTAAATAACCACGTTCACATGTGTTCACAGTATATCTGTATGCGAGTGATCCTTTAACTGTCACATGGCAGTGCCTTACGGCTCTGAGCCAACACGAAGGGAATAATTAGCGATTGTTCTCTTACATAAGCTCCCCACAGGAGCAGTCACAAGAGGCTCTGACACAGAGGGCTTAGGCCACTGTCTTAGCAGCACAGCCTTGGGGCCACGGTGTGCGCGTGCACGGGCCAGGGAAACGAGGGAACAGCGCACACTCTCGTGAGTGTCATCCGGATCTGCAGGAAGCTGGTCAGCACTGCTGCTGGTGAAGGCAGCTCTGCACACCTGAGCTAAGGCCCCTGACTGGGCAGAGAGCAAGGCGTGAAGGGCCCAGAGCTTCCATCATCTGTCCGTCCGCTCAGCAGATATTTACCCAGTGCCTGGAACGTGTGGCCCTCGGTGCTAAAACTCAGC